ACGACATACTAAACTATAACGTTTTTTCTACGTTTTAACGACATACTAAACTATGACGTTTTTTAAACATTTTAACGACATACTAAACTACGATGTTTTTAAACAAACATGCCATGATTGTTTCTGCAACATTTTGGTTCAAATGCTAAACTGTAAAAGTGTTTGCACCATTTTAATGTCACACTATGCAGCTTTTAAGAACGTACTATGAAAATTTTTCATAGTGCACCGTTGCATGTTCACATCATTTCCTCCCACGATGTTAAAAACTGTCCCTTTAAGCTTTTCGGGCCACATCAATGACCTGTATGAGAAAGAATCCACACAGAGAAATAACCTGATCACAAAAGGAAGTTACTGACAGTGCTGTTCAGCTGTCGTGCTGGTTTACTGTGTGTTTGCAGGACATGTTAAATACATGCATGACCTGCTGCAGAACCAGAAATGTCTTCAATCCAGCACCAACCAACCAAATGTCTGCTGCTAGAACTCGTCAAGTTGCTTCAAAACATTTCGGACTTTCAGCCGACATGAACATGAAAGGATGAAATTAAACACGACCCCGAGCGTTTGGTGGAAGTTAGACGAATTTATTTCCAGTCAGATGTCGCCGGTCACCTCGTTGATCCATGAGTGATAGTCCGACACTCTGGTGAAGACGGCCGGTTTCTCGGCGTCACAGCGCCAGCTGCCCCACGTGACCACGCCGAACAGGAAGTAGGAGCCACGTTTCCGACAGAACAGAGGAGCTCCAGAGTCGCCCTGCAGAGGAAAAAAAAGGACAGGATCGGTCCGGACACGATGACGAAACCCCTGCAGATGCTTCCAAACTCACTATTTATTAAAATTCTTGTTCGGTCTCTAAAATGTCAGAAAATAGTAAAAACGTTCATCGTCCAGGAAAAAAAAACAAAAAACGTCTTGTTTTGACCGCAAATAACTGATTAATCGGACCGGTTCTGTTACCAGGCAGGACGTGGATCCTGCAGGATGTGAACAGACGTGAGCGTCGCTGATGAATCCTCCCCACTGCTGCCGGCAGCTCGTCTCGTTGACCAGAGTCAGGCCGGCGTGATGCAGCCGCTTCGGATCGACGCCGACTACACAGGAAGTAATAATCATAAAGCAGAGAACGTTCTCAAACCTTCAGTTCATCACAGAGACTTCAAATCTGCAGATAGCAGCCTCTGGTGTTCAACACGTTGTGGCCACGCCCACATGGAACAAAAAAAAGTGATGAAAACGACTCAAAGTGGACGGAAGACGAGTAGAGACACCGTTAGCTACGTAGCATCAGCTCATGGTGCTGAACTCAAACCAATCAGAAACCATCATTTAAACCAATTCAATCATCATTTTCAGTGTTTTAACCAAAGAAATCAACATACAAACCAGTTCAGTTACTTTGTACACCAAGAAAATCATTTAGACCAATTAAATTAATACTCAAACCCATCAAATCATCATTTATAAAGACCGAGTCCACATTTAAAACAATCAATCATCTGTTAAAGACCCAAACCAAACCAGTCCCGTCGGTGTCGGTACCTGTAGCTCTAGTCGCTCCCCAGCCGGCTGTGAGACACGACCAGCTGCCATCGAGGTCCTCGTCCTCTTCAGGAACACAGACCGGACTAATGCGAGAGCCTGCAGACAGAACCAGAACCAGCAGAACCAACATCACAGAGAGAAGCAGGAACATGTCCACAGTGTCCACAGGGTTCTGATGGGTCCAGATGTTCCTACCAAACCTGGCGTCCTGACTGAGACGCAGCAGCAACAGGTCCGCTTTAGGAGGGAAGCTGGAGTCCTGTGGTGGGCTGAAGACTTCGTCCACCGGGACGGTCTGAAGCGACAAGAACCGGAGGTCATGGACCCCCAGAACCACCACGTCCTCCTTAGCTCTGCACGGAACCAGAAGGAGAACGAGTCCAGCAGCGTGACACGAAGAACCGACATGGAGAGTTTAACATCAGAGGAGACAATTAACTTCCTGGTTGCTGGAGAAGAACCGACCAATGAGAGGAAATCTGTTCAACCGAAGACGGAGGAACCCAAGAACCAACCGGTGACGACGAGCTGCCAAGACGGGGAATTGTTGAGCAGCTACGGTTCGATTTGAAAGTGGTTTTGCTGGTAAATTATTCTCTGGTGTTGTTTTGTCGCTCTGAGATTCGCTGAGTGAAGAAGATCCGTAAAACTAAACGTTCTCCTCTAATCGACCACCTTCAGGTACCACCTGGGACCGTCTGCTGTCGGAACACTTCCTCATCTTGAACTGATAGAATTTTACTGGTGGTTGTAGTAGTACTAGTTACCTGATGCTGCAGGACTAGTAGTGGTAGTATTAGTCGTATTAGTTAGTAGTAGTAGTTAGTGTTTAGCAGTGAGCACCCGGCGGCGGTAGAACAGCGCTCCACTGCAGTAGTACCAGTAGTACTGGTACCTGACGCCGCAGTACTTGTACTGATTATTTTAGTTGTAATAGTTACCTGATGCCACAATACTAGTACTGGTAGTACTACTAGTATATTTTCCTGAGGTTGCAGTACTTGTGCTGGCAATGTTAGTGGCATAGTTACCTGACACTACAGGAGTAATACGAGTACTAGTAGTACTAGTTACTAGATGCTGCATTAGTAGTACTGGTAGTACTAGTAGTACTAGCTACCTGACACCACAGTGTTTGATGGATCGAACCCAACGTTGGTGGATCACAGGTCTGCTGCAGTACTGCTAGTATAATGGTAGTATTAGCTACCTGACCCCATAGTGCTGGTACTGGTACTGGCTACCTGATGCTGTAGTACTAGTACTGGTAGAATTAGTAGTATTCGTAGTACTAGTAGTACTAGTAGTACTCGTCACCTGACAGCACAGTGCTTGGCGGTCAGAACCCAGCGCCGGTGGACCAGAGCTCCGCTGCAGACGTGGCGTCCGTCGGCCTGCACGCTGACCATCCAGGGCCAGTTGAAGGGGCAGGACTCGGACACGTTCCCCACAGACGACACTCCGTCCTGGGACACTGACAGTCCGGCCGGGCCTGGATCACACGTGGAGCTCTGCTGCTTCCCACAGCTGTCCCCTGGGTGTACAGAATAACAGAAACACTGTACGATCTGTCTGGATCTCATGAAACCGTCTCAGAGGACAAACCGACCTTCAGCCGTGGCCTCGTCTTCAGGACCTTCATCCTGATCGTCTGTGGAGGAAACAACACCAACGCTTCAGAGCAGGTTCTACCAGGTGTAGGAGCTGCAGGTGTCGGAGACTCACTCATCGTGTCCCGGATCCACTCGGTGTGCTGCTGGACTCTGGTGTAGACGCCGGGTCTCCGAGCCCGACCACAGCCAACCCCCCAGCTCACCAGACCGGCCAGCTCATACCTGCCGCCGTTGAAGCAGGACAGAGGACCTCCGGAGTCGCCCTGAGGAACACCACCGGGTGGGCAAACGTACAGGACATGAAAGAGACGACAGCAAGAATAAAGACAAGAGGATGAAGAAGAAGAAGAGCAACGAGACAGAAGACGAATAAAAGACACAAAACAAGGACAGAAACCTAGAACCCGTCCAAGTTCTAGGGCTCTGCTTCGTCTATCTGTGGCCATTCGGTTCTGGTTTCATTTATCACAGTTTTGTCTCTTTGTGGTTCCTTTGTCTGGTCTTTGTCCGTCTGTCTGACCCTGTCCAGGTGTCCTACCTGGCAGGCGTCCACGCCTCCTGTGTCCCTCCCAGCACAGAACATGGAGTTCTGGATCCGGCCGCTGTAGAACCGGTTACAGGCGTCTGATGGCAGGATGGTGACGTTGACTTCCTGCAGTCGGTTCACTCGAGGTCCGTCTGAAAACACAGAGAAGCTGAGTGTTGAGGAACCTGCAGAACCTGCAGAAGGTTCTACAACCCGACCGGTGCTCACTCTCTCTGGTGGACCCCCAGCCGGTGACGGTGCAGCGGCCCAGCAGAGGCAGCGCCGACATCCACACGTCGATGGGTCGGACGAAGCGGCCGAACTCCAGCGGCCGCTGCAGCTTCAGCAGAGCGATGTCGTAGTCTTTGGTCCGACTGTTGTAGCCGCGGTGGCTGAAGATGGCCGAGACGCCGACCAGCTGCCCAGAGAGACGACCACAGGAAACGTTCAGTCCAATCAGCTTCACTAACAGAACCCTGAAGGCTCTGGTTTCTGTACTAACAAGAACTCTGAGCAGCCGTTCGCTCTGTGGAGGTGGACGGTTGGTGGTTCGGGTTTCTGACCTGCTGCTGAGGCTCGTGAGGATTGTCCAGGTCGTGTTTTCCAGCCAGAACCGTCCAGAACGAAGCTTTGTTGTATCTGCAAACAGCGTTTTATCATCAGCAGGAAATTACTTTGTGAATGAATCTAATCCTGGTCCGAGTCAAAATAATGTAATTCTGGTTTAACTCAGAATGAATCTAATCTTGAAGTCAAGCTAAAGAAATCCTGTTCTGAGTCTAAATGTTGTAACTCAGACTAACTTTAATCCTGATCTAACTCAGATCTGACTGGTGGTTGTTGACCTCTGACCTTCTGAATCTAATCCTGGTCTAGGTCAGACTAACTCTAGTCCTGGTTAGCATTCAGTTCTGGTGACCCGGTTACCGTTTGAAGCAGTGGGCAGCAGAGATGACCCACGTCGGGCCGATGACGGCTCCTCCACAGGCCGGCATGGAGGCGAACCGGAGAGACACCTGCCAAGGCCAGGAGTGCGCCCAGGCCTCCTGACCGCCGATGATCCGGGTCTCCGCCTGCTGCTCCGGGACGAAGGAGCGAACGCCGGCCAGATCTGGTACCAGGTTTAACTAGTTACCAACTTCACCAAGGTCCAAAGACACCGCAGCCAAGTTCTAACTAAACCTGTTTAATCAGACCTTTAAGAACTCAAACATCAAACCAGTCAAGTTTATCGTATCTGTTTTTAGAACTTTACACAAAGTGAACGTTTGGTTTGAAGAGCTGATCAGACGTATTGATCAGACAGAACCAGCTGATAAGTTTTTAAACGTACCGCTGAAACCGAAGAGTCCGGAGAAAGTCGAATGTTCCTGCAGAGCTTCATGTGACGTTTGGTTCTGCTGGTTCTGGGTCTGATTCAAGTTTCCTGCTACAGAACAACAAAACAGCAGCAAGAGATCAATGGATAGACGGATCAATAAATCTGAACAGCTCATGTTAGATGATAATTGATCAGAAACATTAACAAGCTTCTTTCCTCAAAACCCTCATCTGACACTTTAGTTTCATTTAATATGGACAGAAATAAAACAGGAAGCTTTGGTGACTGTAAAGCTGCTGAAGGAGGAAAAAAGGCTAAAAATGTGAAGAAAACTCAAACAAATGCAGGAAAATAAATAAAATACAAAAAAAAGCTCCAAATAGAAAAACTCAAAATTTAAAATTTATAATAATAAAATTCCTGAAAATGAAAAAAGTTTTTAAAGTTTCTTAAAGGAAATATTAAAATATAAAAACAACAACAAAAATCAAAAATATCCAGAACATGAAGTCCTACAGCGACACCCAGCGGCCACACAGAGAACCACAGCTGAACAACCTTCATTCACACTGAAGTTAAACTGACAAAGTCTCACCAGCAGCAGGTTCCGGTTCCGGTCCTGGTCCAGCAGTAGCATCGATGTTGCTCTTGTGTTCTGTTGTGTTTGACGGATTCTGACCGAATTCAGCTGCACGAGCACAAACCGCCAAACAGCTGATCAGGAGGCAGAACGCACGGCGCATGTTCTCACCTGTCACCTGTCTCACCTGGCAGCAGACACACCGACAGCACGTCCCTCAGAGGATCGATCATCTCCGACCGGTTCGGTCCCGCTCATCAGGCTGATCGGGGACACCTGCTGCGTCACACCGCTCTGGACCAATCGCGTTCTGCGCGCTCACGTGCTCTGAGGCGCGCCCCCGACACGTTTCCGACACATCAGCTTCACTGTGAACATCCGCCTTGTGTTGGGTTCTGAGACCATGAAGGTTCTGATTGTAACAGGGTTCTTCAACAAAAGGTTCTTTAAAGAACCCCCCTACAACGTTCTGTTAAACAAGGTTCCTTTAGGCCGCTATGAATGGTGCTCTGAAGAAAAAGTGGTTCTTTAAGGAACAATTTATGCAAATAGTTCCTTAAAGAACCTCCAAAGGTTCCTAAAAAAACATGAAAATACCTCTACTGGTCCCTGTGAATGGTTCTCCTGAGAACGTCACAACCACATCTTTGTCTCTCCAAGTGCTTCCTGAAGGAACCATTTTGTCATTTGAAGAATCATTTGTAGAACCTGACAGAACCATCAAAAACTGGTTCCTGTAGGCCCCATAAATGGCAAAAGAGGTTCTTTAAGGAACCATTTTCAAGACCTTGTGGACCAACATGATCGGGTGAAGAACCCTTTTCAAATGTTTCTTGGGTGTGTTTTTTTTCCAAATAAACGGTTCTTTAAGCTCTTTGAATCTGATTGTTCTGTGAAGGTTGAAAATCACGTTCCGTTCGTTAACGTTCTGTCTTAGTTCGGTTACAGACGAGTCAGCGTGTTTCAGAGACGCACAACGTAGAACCCCAGAACCTTAGATTAACGTGTGGATCCAAACTAAATATCCAGAAACGCTGAACAGATCAGACAGACTGAAACTAAGAATCTGTTGTGTTCCTGGTTCCTCTCATTAGAACATGTTTACCAGTCGGGTGTTTTTGTGTTTTGTGTTCTTCTGGATGGGACTCGACTGGAACCTCCACATGTTCTAGTCTAAAGAACACCAGGACTTTACTGCAAACATGTCGGGAAGAACGCCAGAATAATGAGAGAGAGAATGTTACTTCCTTCAGAGTCAGAAGTTCACATCCACTCAGATCCTTCAGACTATCAGGGAAAGCCCAGATGATGATGTCATGGCTTTGGAAGCTTCTGATTGGTTAATTGGAGGCACATCTGTTGATGTATTTTAAGGCTCACCTCAAACATTCTGCTTCCTTTGGTGACAACATGGAACATCTAAAGAAACCAGCCAAGACATCAGGAGGAGACCTGTGGACCTCCACCAGTCTGGTTCCAGATGGCTGAAGGTTCCACGTTCATCTGTTCAGACAGTTCTATCAGTAGAACCACCATGGGAACGTCCAGCCATCATAGGCTCAGGAAGGAGACGGTTCTGTGTCCAGAGATGAAGTGTTCTGGTTGAAATCAACCCCAGAACAGAAGCTGAAGACCTTGTGAAGATGCTGCTGAAGCTGGTCAGAGAGTCATTATCCACAGTGGAACCAGTCCTGTACCGACATGGGCTGGAAGGCTGCTCAGAGAGGAAGAAGACATCACTCCAGAAGAACCATAGAAAAGACAGATTACAGTCTGTAGATGCACACAGGGACAAAGAGCTTCATCAGTGGAGACATGTCCTGTGGTCTGATGGAACTAAACCTGAACTGTTTGGCCTTAATGACCATCGGTACATCTGGAGGAAAAAGGAGGAAGCTGGAAGCCTGAGAACACCATCCCAGCTGTGGAGCACGGGGGTGGCAGCATCATGCTGTGGAGGGACTGGTGACCTTCACACAATAGATGGCATCATGAGGAAAGAACATGATGTGGAGATACTGAAGCAACATCTCCAGACATCAGCAGGAAGTTCCAGCTTGGACACTAATGGGTCTTCAGATGGACAATGACCCTCAGCATAGCGCCAGATTAGCTACAGAGAGACAACAGCTCTTCATGGTTTGGTTTAGACATTCACCACAAGAGGCCGCCAGCGTTGGATGATACCAGCTGACTGGTTCCTGTAGGAGGACGATGAGACCATCACGGTTTTATTTGTATTTTGTGTGAACACGTAAATCACAGAACTTTTTCTACACTCAGGAAGAATTACAGGATTTAAACTAAAGCTGCTGAAAGCTTTCATTCTCATCATCAGTTAGCGCCACCTGCTGCTCATCACATCCAGCAGCCTTTAATCCAACAGACTGTCTGCTCAGAGAACCTGAAGGCAACTCTGTTAAAATCATCAAGTCTGATTCTATGTGAAGGGACATCCTGGTGTTATATTTACATTTAATTTAATTTAATTTAATTTAATTTAATGTCGGCAAATGTGGTATTTTAAAAATATTTTCGGATGGAACCAGAGCAACAACATCCTCCGGACCCAATAAGCTCGGTTCTTTTCTCTATAATGTGATTCTGTGATGAAACAGGTCGAACTTCACGTCTTGAGTCTGAGTCCAGTTGATCTGCTGCTGCTGTCAGATTCTCCTTCACTGTCTGGTGTGTGGGGTCCGGTTCTGGCCCTCTGACTGGATGCAGCTGCAGAACCACAGCTGGATCCTGACCCGCATCCTTCAGCTCGGCCCGGTTCTGCAGAACTGCTCGGCTCAGATAAACGTCTTTCTGTGTGCGGCTGAAACAAAACAAGATGTCGTTTGAATTGTAGATTTGGATCAAATGGTGCCGAGCGGCGGCGGCAGCAGGCGGAGCCGGGTCGGACTGGTACCGGCACCGGACGCGCCCTGAATCTGGCGGACCGGGACCAGGCGGACGGACCGGAGCTGTGGAGGCTGCTGAGGAAGACTGAGGAGGAAGATCAGCTGCGACTCTCCGCCTCCTTCACCGCGCAGGGAGCGCGCCGCGCGGCTGTGGAGAGGCGTGACGCGCCCGAACCGCATCTCCGGGATGGCAGGTAGGTTCTGCTCTGGGACCGGGGATGGAGGGCGGGCTGGGGGACACAGAACGGCTCGGCTCGGCTCGGTTCGGCTCCTGTCAGCGGTATTTCGGGGCGGTGCGCTGCTGCGGTTCTCGAGGCTCCAGCTGCGGCCGGCAGCCTCCTGAGGAGGGAGGAGGCTCCGCTGCTGCACCGCCGCTTCATGGACCAGCACCAGTGTCGGTACCACGTTAGACCGGGACGGGACCAGACCGGACCGGACCGGACCGGACCGGACTGGACCGGGCCGGTAATTAGGGCACCGAGGCTGTGCAGCTCTGCCGGGTACCGGAGCGGCGGAGCGGCGACACGTCCGGAGGAGGAGGACGGAGGAGCAGGTCCTCTGTCGGATAATGGGGTCAGTGTGAGAGGAGGCCAGGCCGGGCCGGGCCGGGCCGGACCGAACCGAACCGAACCGGGCAGAACCGAGACGAGCCGGGCCAGCAGAGGTGTGAGCGGCCTGAAACCTGCTGAATGAGCAGCAGTGCCGGATCAGAGCCGAGCTGGGCCCCGAGACCAGAACCGGGCCTGGACCGAGAACCAGAGGAAGGATCCGGAAATATTCCGGATTTAAGCCGTTTACAGCAGCAACAAGTTAAAGCACATGAAGGCAGGAGTGAAACCAAACTGAGCTGCAAACAGCTGCAGATGTTCTGGTCGGGTTCGGTTCGTTTCGCTTGTTTGTGATCTGATGCTCAGAAAACTGAAACTTTGGTTTGATGATCAGAGAAATCCTCTGAGCGAAATATTATAGATATAAAAATAATAATTCTCCTTGTAGGCAAAACTGATTATTGAAGAACTGATCAATGAATGAGATCAACCCGGTTCGGTCAGAAGCTGCTGAACTGGGTCAGAACATCTTAGTGGGTTTTATTAATTCTGTAGTTGTGTTTTTTACTGAAAGTCGTGTTTAATGTCAGTTTGAAGCAGCAGAAGCACAGATAGAGGAGCATGTCTGGAACCGGAGCTTCTTCTGGTGAACCAGAACATCAGAGCTGAAAGTTTGATGATGAACTGTTAACTTGAAAATGCATTTAAATGCAGCATTAATGTTCCAGAACCATCTGGACCACAGAACTACGTTCAGTTTGCGGCGTTGGTTCGTGTTCAACTTGAAAAACTGGACTCACTGGTGAAGATGAGCTCATGCCTGAACTTGTTCTCAAAAGCATCTCAACAGTCTGAAGGCCACCGTGCAGATGCGTCCTGTCCACACTGCGACCACCTGAGGGCGCCGTACAGCGACCACCTGCAGAGCTGGTTATTGGGTATCGATCAGCCGATGAATGTGCTTCTTGGTGTCTCCAGGTCCTCCTGACGGGCCCTCGGCTCTCTGTACCGGGATCGGACCGGCGGCCCTCTGAGGACGATGGACCCTGCAATCCTGCCGGGCCCCGGCTCCAGGACCGGAACCGGGACCAGGACCGGGACGGACCCCAGAACCTTGGCGTGCAGACGGACGCTCGGCGTGATGCTGCTGGTGGTGGGCACGCTGGTTTCCGTGGTGACCTCGAGCTCACCTGCTGCAGGTAAGCCGGGGTCCTGGAGACGCCTCAACGTTTAACGGCCGAGTTCGAGTGTTCAGAGTCCAAACACAGATTCAACAACGTCACAGAACAACCGTCAGGTGGAAGTTTGTAGAACTTTATTCTCATGGAGGTAAAACAGTCAGAACATGTGGTTCTGTTGGGCAGCTGGGTTGGGTCTCTTTAAGGTGGTTTCGCATCTTCTCGTGGTCATTTTGCATCTTTGTGGTTGTTTGTTTCTTGTTTTAGGCATTTTTTGTCTCCATGTGGTGGTTTTTTGTCTCCTTCTGGTCGTGTTGTCGTCATTTTACATCTTTTTGTTCTTCGTTCTCTTTGCGGTAGTTTCTCCTCTTTGCAGTCACATAACCATTAAATGTTAAAACCGCTCGCCGTATTCTGCTGATGCTTCACGTTGACCTCTGACCTCTGACCTACCTGTGCACAGGAAGTGACAGCAGGTGGATTTCCTTATAAGGACATTCAGTCAGACTGCAATCGGTGGTTTCAGTGAAGCTGCAGGATTCTTATTTTATCTTCATGTTCTCGTCCTCCCACGTTACTGAGTCAGTCTGTCGACACACACACACACACACACACACACACACACACACACACACACACACNACACACACACACACACACACACACACACACACACACACACACACACACACACACACGCTCAGTCACATGACCTGCTGATGTCACTCTGTGGAGGTTTAAAGTGACAGGTCGATCCTCCAGTCGGATTCAGACTCTGAGAAAAGACCTGGAGCGTTTGAGTGACGCGTCTCAGTTTGCTGCAGTTTGAATGAACGAGGCTTTGAATCAGCTCCATGTGATGTAAACTACAACCATGGAGGTTCTGACGATGTTGGACTTCAGTGCTGCTGAACTGAACTCATCTGTGCAGAAAACACAGAAACAGATTCATGTTTGAGCTGATTTATGCTTCAGATCTAAACTGATTCTGACTTTACAGCAAAATGTCATCATCTCACAGATATTGAACAAATATTAACATTTGAAAAAGGCAAATAATTACAGATAATTACAGAAAACATCTCATAAAACTACAGACAAAACATGTTGACTGTAAAATGAAAGCGTCCACACAGAGGTTTGCAGGTTCACATCCGACCAGGTGACCAGTGAAGCTCCTGTAGAGCAGGACGCCCCCCTGTGGCCTTGACAAGGTCTCCTACTGAGGATCTGTGCTGCATCCTTCCCTTTATCATAGAGCTGCAACTGTTAGACATTAGCATCCCTATTTGAAGGATATTTTCAGGGGAAAAGTCAAAAATGTGATTTGTCAGGCTTGTAAAATGCGATTGTAGCACGAATCTGTTTCCGAAACGACCAAATAATCGCTTTTATAGACAAAATGACAAAGAAAAGCCGCCGAATAATCATCAGTAGATCTGTCTATCTGTGATCTATTCATCACTCTGTTATCGATCTATAATCTATCCATCTATCTGTCATCTATCTATCCGTGTGTTCGAGGGCGTCGTCTCCTGAATACCAATGACTCGTCTCCGTTCGGCACATGATGCTGCCGCAAAGCACGGCGTCACCACGGCAACGAGGCCGAGAACCAGATGAAAGAGCCTCAGTCAAGGCTGAGTGTGTGTGTGTGTGTGTGTGTGAGTGTGTGTGTGTGTGTGTGTGTGTGTGTGACACAAAGACAAATAGGTTTAAACTCACTGCAGAGGAGGTAAAAAAAATAGAAAAGGGAAAAGATGCAGCGTTACAAACAGAAATAGGACGGAGCTCCTGCTGCGTGGATTCATGTAAACCAGCGATAATAAAAACAGTGGAGGTGTGAAGAAATGTGCTTTTAAATCACGTCAGACCAAATCAGACGAACCGCTAAACTGTGGAGAGAAAAGATGCATTTGCACATTTACGTTGTTAAGAACTATTTTCCCTCCTGACAAAAAAGCGAGACGAGCTGTCGTTAATCTGGTCCAACAATCTAAACCAGGCCAGAGTGGATCCGAATGACACAACACAGCTAGTTAGCATAGCTTAGCATAAAAGGAAATTGCTAGCGTGACTCTGTACAAAGGTAACAGACTCCACCTGCCATTTGCAACAGGTTTTAACTGCCTGATTAGTCTGTAAAAGAACTGAGGGGTGTTTTAAAGGTGAAGTCATGGAATTATTTGATGACTAACAGCAGCGTATCCATCCGCCCAGAGTGTCTGTGCAGCATCTACACAACTTAGTTTCAATAAGAAAAGACGACATCAATCAGTGCCGACCTTGATGACTTGACTGGCTTTGGTCAGAATAATCAGTTGTAGTCACGGTTTTCAGGTTTCTCGATTATAATCTGGGTTCCTAGGTGTAATCAGGATCCCCAGGTGTGCTCAAGGTCCTCAGGTTGGTTTAGGGTCCTCAGATGTATTTAGGAACCTCAGGCATGATATGGATCCTGAGGTGTATTCAAGGTCTTCAGTTGGATTCTAGATTTTTAGGTGTAGTTAAGGTCCTTAGGTATAATCAGGATCCTTTGGTATGGTCAGGGCCCTCAAATTTGATCATGAACCTCAGGTCTAGTCAGGCTCCTGGACTGTACTCAGGGTCCCCAGGTGTGTTCTGTTCTCAGGTATAATCAGAACCTCAACTCTGTCCTTCTGGCCTGCAGGTGTGCTGGACTTCAACGGGACGACTGAGCCTTCGTCAGAGCCTTCATCATCATCATCCCCCCCCTCCCCTCCCAGACCCCCCTCCCCCAGCCGGCCCTCGGACTCTGGTTACCACGGTAATGGTGGCGGCGCTGGCTCGGCGGAGGACTCGGACTCCGGCGCTCAGGGGATCCACCTCCTGCTGAGGCCCCCGGACCTCCTGTCGCCGAGCCTGCCGCCTCCCCTCCCCCCGCACAGCCAGCCCACCCTCACCCCTCCTCCCCCGTGGGAGCAGGGCCCCTCCCTGGAGGAGGCCTGGGGCTCCGGCGACTACCTGGAGACGCTGTCCTTCATGGTGCCCGACGGCGAGGAGCTGGCCTTGGCCACGCCGCTGCCCAGCCACCCCTACGACAAGGACGCCGAGGGGGACTGGGTCTCCTACGACACCGCCTTCCCCGCCCGGCCCACCCTCCCTCTCTCCTCACGCCTCCCCCTCTCGCCCTCCTCCTCCACCCCCAGCATCCCCCTGCACACCCGCCCCACCCACCCGGACGTCTTCCCCACCTGGGACGAGGACTACGACCTGGAGGACATGATGCCGCTGGAGCCGACGGAGCTGCTGCTGCCGGACATGAACAGTCTGGAGTACTACACCAACCTGCTGGCCCGGGAGAGGGAGAGGGAAAGGGAGAGGGACCGGGACCGGGCGAGGGAGAAGGACCTGGATCGGCGGAACCGGACCGACACCAAACCCCCCATCAGTCCGACAACCACACTCACCCACCACCCTCCTCCGACCCCGTCCCTGAGCCCCGGTCCTCCTCCGGCGCTGGAGCCCAAACGGCCCCCACCGGGTCCTACACCTCCCCTCAGACTCTCACCTACTCTCCCAGGTGAGGCTCCGTCAACCACCCCCAAAGTTCCGTCCACCCCTCCTCCACCACCTGCCCCGAGACCCAAGGACCATGCTCCAGTCCCGGGCCGATACCCTCTTCACCCTCCGTCCAACACCACCGGCCGTGTTCCTCCACCTCCCCCGCTTGGACCGCCCACCCGCCCCGACCGACCAGAGAAGCCCTCAGGGGTCACTGAGAAGCCGGCAAAGGCTCCTCCCACCAGAACCACTACCACCACCAAGGCGACCACCACCACCATCACCACCACCACCCAGATCACCGCCATCAGCCTGACCAGAGCACCCCCAGTCACCACGCCCAGAGTGGCCCAGACCCCGCCCACCAGGCAATACCTGTGCAACGTCACCAAGCCGGAGATGTACCTGGTCCGAGTCGGTAAGGGTCACATGACAGCACCTGCAGGTGGGTCAGTCAGAGTCATTGCAGGCAGCAGTGTTGCTCCACTGTCTCACATTTTATGTTGTTATTTGGTATTTAGGAACTAAAACTAAAACCTAAAAGTTCTGTAAAATGTTTGCGTTGAATTTTGAGAATTTCATGTTCTTAGACCAGAAAATGTTGTTCCGGGGAGTCATTTTAAGGATTCAATATCTCCAGAAATACACTCTCACAGCCATGAAGTCTGGTGAGGACACAGACAGAGGTGTTTCCAGCAGATCAGAATGATTGAATGGATCCAGCAGAGGACAGATTTTTCATTACTGACCCTTGAAAATGGAAGAAAGCACTATGTTTTCAAACCTTGGTGGTATTGTGGCCCTTGAAAGTTCCTCTAAGTGTATAGACATGGATGTTCCTTTCAGCCTCTAACATCAGTAGAAGTTGAAGTCTGGAACGTATGGCTTCACACAGTTGATGTATTATTTGTGTTTTTTTCCTGCAGTGAGCTCCAAAGGTTCATCAGCTGGTTTCAGTCAAGTCAGGGATCTTCTGAAGCGAGAGTTCAACCGCTCGGTGGAGCTGCAGGTACGAACATCCCACCTTCACCGCTGCTCCATCGGTGTGGACACTCACTCAAGGGGTTTTATTATTTTCTAGTGGAGGCTCTTCTGTGGAAAAACGATCAGCTGATTGCAGCCGATGCAGTTCAGATTTCCTGCAATTAAATTTAATAAATAAATTGCAGTCAGAAACCAGAAATACAACAGTTTGTAGGGGCAGCGAGAGAATGAATTAACATTAATGAAGCCCGATTAATGTCGACAACAGGCAGTGAAAACAGCAGCAACATCAGCCCTAATTAGAAGTTTGGTCTGTAAGAGAGTCTTTGGAGTTCCACAAGGCCGACACATTGGTCCACTATTATTTAATGATCTTTTAGCGAAAATTACATCTGGAGTACCACAAGGTTCAAGTCTGGGCCCACTGCAGTTCAGTTTCTCATGTTTAGACCACATCTTTTCCAGAGCTGCCATGATTTATCACGGAGTTGTTAACTACTAAATTAGTTGCCGACTATTCGAAGCTCACCTGGCTGATGTCATATGATTGACAGCTGTCCGTCTCCTCTGTTTCCCTTCAGTTCCTCAGAACTCCGTCCAGTTTTGCCTTTCGCGTCGTGTCAGGACCGCTGATCTTCACCGCCATGTCTGTCATCAACGCCCTCCGCCAGCCGCCTCGTAGCTCTGGTCCGGTTCCCACCGTGTCGCCGCTGTACACCGTACCGGACCTCAGGTACCAGATCCACTCGGTGCTGCAGTTCGTCCCCGCCCACGTCGACGTCCGGGTCTGCAACTTCAGCGAACGGGTGGAGAGAGGCCTGACGCTGGCGTACGCCGAGACACGGAGGAGAGCACACGAAGCGGGAAACGTCACAGTACAGGTGAGTCCGACCGTACAGGTGAGTCCGACTTCTTTAAATTCACCTTCAGTTCTGTTATCATGTCCAAACTGACCCTTTCCTCTCATCACATAGCTGTTGAACATCACTATGGGTGTGACCCGGCCGGCGGCGGAGCAGAAGGTTCCTGTTGACATCACGTTTGCGGTGCGTGATGGGCGGGGCTACCTGCCGGGGTCAGAGGTCAGCGAACACCTGAGGAAGCTCAGCGTGGTGGAGTTCAGCTTCTATGTTGGATTTCCTGCCCTGCAGATCGCAGAACGTATGATAAACAAACACACACACTGTTAAAAACAGCACAGATGTCACACAGTTCATGTCTACGAACATTAAACATGTTTAACACACATCTGACGTGTTCATATGAAAATATGTGTAACATTAAAAACATTAAAATGCATTCATACCTTTTACAATAGGTTTAACAAACATTTCTAAACATATTTACAATGCATTTATATACATGTTAAAATACAAAAAATAACATAACAAAATAATTAAAAAAATAAGAAATAAAAATAAAACTTTATTAATCCTGAAGGAAATTCTTTTGTCAGATGTTGCTCAAAGTAGTGCTTCATAGAAAACAATAAGATGTAACTACGAGGCATTACTGACAATAAAAATAAGTAAACTGCTACTAATATTGTATGAAATGTGCGTTTTAAATGTCTGCTTGTGTTAACAGCGTTCCACTACCCTGAGCTGAACACGTCCCACCACCTGAGATCCACCTGGGTCCGAACAGGTAACAAACACACCTGTGACCTGACGCTGACGCTACATTCCACCAGAGAACACAGTGAATTCCAGTTTGTGTGGTTTCAGTGCTGCTGGGAGTTCAGGAGCAGCTGGTGGCCGAGAGAAGCTTCAAAGCTCGTCTGGAGAGACGTCTGGCGCTGCTGCTGGAGGAAGGCCTGCAGGAGACCAGCAGGAGGCGCTGGAGGAGAGCTACAGCAATGGGCAACAACAGCCTGCAGGTATGTGCACAACCACACAGGTGTAGACACAACATGGGTACACACACACACACACACACACACAGTTCAGGTGTATTCGCAACCATACAACACAAAACAGGTGTAAACACAACACACATATATATTACACATTATACACAACACACCTGTATCAACAGGTGGACAGTGTGTGAGTGCAGCTGTATATCTGAGCTCCTGTCGGTTCAAACCAAACCAGATATTAATGAACAGAATCTGTCAATAAGCCTCACCTGTCGTTCTCAGGTGGTCCGGGTGTCGCGGCTCTCCGGAGCAGAGCGCCCCCTGGAGGTGTTTTACTTCGTGGAGGGTCCAGGTGGAGAGAGGATCCCAGCCGAGGTGACGGCCGCCACCCTGAACCGCCTGGACCTACAGAGAGCCGCCATCGTCCTGGGACACCGGGTCCAGAGACCGCTGGCCCAACGTGAGTCAGAACCGGAGACCGTCCAGAACTCGGGATGTTGGTAGTCCAAACCCTGACACCTGAAGTTAGAATAAAGCACGTGCACAGGCTAAAGACTGAAACCATCACAGCTGGCCTTTTAAAAGCCTGAAAGTAAAGTCAGTAAAACTATCGACTTCAAAAGCAAAGAGCACGAATGTCGCTACGCAAAGTTATGTTTTCAAACTTTCCACCATTTTCCATCTTAGTTTAAACAGGACATGATCTTAACCTGCTGCAACTGATTCAACAGATCACTGGTTCAGATTATCCCAGCTGCTGGTTCACGAAGATTAGTTAATTAGTTAATTAGTCAGTTAGTAGGTTTTTAGTCACTTGACAAAGCTGAAAAACAAACGAACCAGCGTGAGGCTGCTGTTCTGGTTCCTGCCAGTGTGCCGAGGAGAGCAGAAGTTTTAGTTTTTACAGAATCTGTCACTGCAAGCCATTTATGTTTTTGGAGTTTCTAAATAAGACATTCAAAATATCTCATATCATAAAGTGATTTTAAAGAAACATCCCAATGCTAGCTTAGGTTTGATGGTATTTTCAGGTGGATTCAGGACATGAAGCATCTCTGAAACTGTTGATGTACAAACATCCATCACAAATTGTCCGACGGATTAAAAAGCTGAAAGTTGATGAATGTAATTTCCAGTTGGATTGTGACAACCTGTCTCACCTGTGCTCACCTGTCCAGCTGTGGAGACTCTTTCCGTCCCTCCGGCGGAGACTCAGAGCAGCAGCATCTGGCTGATCGTCGGCGTGGTCGTCCCCGTCCTGCTGGCCGTCTTCATCATCATCATCCTCTACTGGAAGCTGTGCGGCTCCGAGAAGCTCGAGTTCCAGCCGGACGCCATCAACACCATCCAGCAGCGGCAGAAGGTCAGAGGTCACCAGCAGGCAGGTACGTCTCACCTGTCGGGTTTAAAAACCGGCTAAAACGTGTGCTTCTCTGTCAGCTTCAGGCTCCCAGCGTCAAAGGCTTCGACTTCGCCAAGCTTCACCTCGGCCAGCACAGCAAAGACGACATCATGGTGATCCAGGAGCCCGGCCCGCTGCCCGCACCTGTCAAAGAGGCCACGCCCTCCGACGCCGGAGACCTCAACACCCCCAAATCCAAAGGATCATCCACCAAGGTGGCCCGGTCGAGCCGCCGCAGGGGAAGGTCAGGCAGCTTCTACACTTTACTTTCCTGTGAACTGTTAGAGACTGTTCTACTTCCAGTCGTACAAGGTTCAGAGAAAATGTCAACACAAAGCTAAAGTCATCGTCTTTTAGAGTTAGAGGATAGGATGTACTGAGGCTCCACAACCTCCAAAAGACAACCTGTATTGTCTACATGATGTCAGTAAATGTACCGTAGACCAGCTGTAGTACCCGGTTGTTCCACCAGGTGGAGCCTCTCACTGTTGAATACTGTAGAGACCAGAGGAGGCGTCACCCAGACTAAAGGCCGTTCATGCTGGCAGCAGAGAGCATTGTGGGGGTTTAGCTAGCAACAGGACACCATGTCGTCCACGGAGGTTAATGATCTCCAACCACAGCTCATGTATTTACGAAACACTGGAATCATCTCTGTAAAAACTTTGCGGTTCAAATCATGTGTCTGTTAACCTAAACAGCAATATCAGCACAAGACATGTCAACTATCCTCCGTTTATGTCACTGATTCATCAATTTACTGATTAATAATGCTGCCAATAAACGATGCAGAAAAATATTCATAGCTAGCCTCCCCAGCATCCAGACCACAAAAGCTGCTTTCTGAAACTTATGTGACAGCAGATGTGAACAAAGTCCTGATCTTCCCAGATCCCTTTTGTACTTTGTTTGATTTGGTGTAATTTTATGAAATAAAAAAACCAACCAAACAAAAAACCTTCATCAGCAACCTGGACTCCTCAGCTGAGCATCTTTACTGATGCACGTAAAAATAACGTGACTCCAACCTCAATAAAAACACTAAACTGCTCAATAATTGTGTCTTCCAGAGGTAAAAACAAAGTGCAGAGGGTTTAAACCGGATACAGGTTTGATGAATTCGCTAACTCACCTGTCGGGTCTCTCATCAGGCTCAGCCCATCAGACGGCGACTCGTTAGGAAGCGACCAATCGAGCGGCAGGGAGTCGGCAGAAGAAAGCACCAGACCTGTGGCCACGCCCAGTGACGGGAAACAGCACAGGAAGACGCCCAAAAATGGTAAGACACGCTCATATCCTCATATTTGTGATGGCAGAGTGAAATGTCAGAGTGGACTGAGTGGGTGTAAGTGACAAAACTAAGCTGCTGCTGTTTGATTAAACTTCATCTTTTCTGTTTAACGCTTTCGAACCTGAAGGGAGGAGCAAGATGGGTACGTTTTCACCCACAGCCTCCACATGTCACGCTGCTCTGATCAGTGTTTTCCTAATATGAAGCAGAACAGAACAGACTCCAACACTGGAGCTGCAATAATCAATCGATCAGTCGTCATTCTGTTAAACTATCGCCAGCTATGTTGATATTTAATCAATCAGGTTGGTGGTTAGGTGTAGCTGCAGAAGCTGACACCATGTATACGACGAATAAACCGTCATAGTTGTTTCATATGAACGCATTGGTAGCTGTGAATTATGAATAATTTGTACATTTAAAAACTCTGCAGTTTACATTTTTCTTCATGTACTAGAACCTGTGCACTGTTGTTTTAGTTCTACTTACAGACACATCTGGGCAATAGCAATACTTGTATGTCAGTGTTTATAGTCATGGAAGAATCTGTGCATCGGTGTCGTTTCCATCCAGAGGAATGTGGACAGTCTGAACTCGTACTTGTGCATATTTCGGTTGATCTTTTTATATTCCTGCTGATGTTCCTTAAATGTTTGCACGATTCTCTCTGCTGTTGTAATCTTATCTGAAAACAGAGACCTGAGTGGGTTCATCTCAGAAGCTCAGGCTTTGTCACGTTTGTATTCCTCTAAACCAATCACAATCATGTTGGGCGGAGCTAAGAACAGGACGCACCAAATGGTGTTAACTCAGTGATGGAGGAAATGTTTTGGTGCAACATTTGCAGGCAGGGAGGCGAAAACTGGCAAGTTCACCGAACAAAACTGCAAAACAAACTTATTACAAACCTCTCGCCAAACTTTGCGTTTCCAGTGCGTATGTTGGTGCTCAGAGGTTCACTGTGGTGAACACGAGGACAGTGAAAGCAGCTGATGGCAGGTTTGTACCTACGGTTTGACCGATGACCTCTCCTCCTCCAGCAGCTCCGTCCGGCAGCGGTCCAGATGAACTCCTGTCCTCGTCCTCCATCTTCGACCACGTTGACCGTCTGTCCCGCGGTTCGTCCGACGGCACCCGTCGCCAGGCCAACAAGGTGCAGCTCATCGCCATGCAGCCACGACCGAGTCCGCCGCAGGCCCACGCCCCTCCGCAACCGAGCCCCTCGCTCACCGAGAAGGTCAACACAGAGGTGGGCTCATCACAGCAACCCACGCGCTCATTGTGAGGTTGTTTTTTTCCACCGGCGGGTTTGAAGACGTTGCCATAATTCCACCATTGATCAAAACAGGAAACTCAAAAACAGAGAGAATCATTAGATTTTCTGTTTGAACTCAAGAAGTCCTTAAATTAATCATGTTTGACAAAAAATGACAAAAATTCAGGTACACAGAGAAAAGAGGAAACGAACAGAACTCAACTTAAAAATGTAAATCCATGTTCCAGTGTTAATAACATCTGTGGACAATGTTGGACATGTTGATTCCAGGTTTTTTTGTGGAGACAAAACAACCACAATGAGACAAAAGTGTCCCGAGAAGACAAGAAGCAACCAAAAGCAGACAGAAAACAACAAAACTAGACACAAAACGAGACGTAAAACAACAGAAAGGGGACAAAACTCTCCCAAGTACACAAACCAGACACAAAATAACAAAGACAAAACAAGAAAACTGGACAGAAAACAACAAAAATGAGAAACAAAGCGCCCACAAAGAGATAAAACTGGTCCCAAGTCACAACATGGTGTAAATGAGACACAAAACAACAGAAAGGAGACAAAACTGAGTCTGTAAATAGTTAAATATCTGTTGTATGTGGAACCTCCTTTTTTCTAGTGTTAGTAACATCTGTGGACGCTTGGAAAGACGATAATTCCCGGATTTCCCATTTTTGTAAAACAATCCCAAGATATTAACCGTATTTTTCTGATTTGTGTCCTTCCAGCCATGTCCAGAACCTTTCTGGTGTTCAGAGGGTTGACCTGTCAGCAGTTTCTTAAAGTGCTTCATTATTAGATCTGACTGAGTTCTCGGTCCTCCTGCAGGTGGCGCTGAGGCACAAGTCGGAGATCGAGCACCACAGGAACAAACTGCGACAGCGAGCCAAGAGGCGGGGTCAGTGTGAGTTTCCTTCCATGGACGACATCATGGACGCCTTCGGAGACGGACCGGTCCAAAGCGAGGTGGCGCAGCGACTCTACAGCTCCGCCCACGACCACATGGACTGCATCCTGCAGGCCGACGCCCACTCACCCCCCACCCCCACCGACTCCAGGAAGAGGTGAGACTTTACCTGACAACACCTGAGCCAATGGTAGGTCAATGACGTCCAACCATAGCTCACTGATTGAAAATGATTCCAGATGCGATGGGTGCAGCATCCTGAAGCCAAACTACTCATGTGGCTGATTTGAGGGGACCGAAGTTAAACAGTGGTGTCATGGTCAATGCAGCCACCAGCAAGAGAGTAGCCACCACAGAAGCCACATCTGTTTGAGAACAAAAGTGTGATTAATTTTACAGAAAAAGAAAAAAATGGACCTAAAACAAGTTAAACTGAAGTCTCCAAACTGCTAAACGCCTCAACATCACATCCAGCAGTTTCTACTAAAAAGACTTAACAATTGAAGGATGTTATTTATTGGAGTCTTACAGTCTGTGTGCTTCTCTGTCCAGAGGGAGGCGCTCTCCTCGGGGTCGACGGGCTCAGCCAGGACCTGGAAGTCTTCCTGATACAGACAGAGACCGGCTGCTCACCGACCAGAGCGCCACCTACAGAAAGTACCCGGGACTCAACAACGTGGCCTACATGGTGACGCAAGTATAACCTTCAGCTCATCACGTCACGGCAGTAAATGTCAGCTTGCTAACGTCTCATCTCTCGTAGTCGGACCCTGACCTGCCCCCCGACCACGGCAGCCCCTCCCCCACCGACGAGGTGTTTGACCCTGCCCCAGCCCCTCCCCCCTACATGCCCCCCCAGCCCTCCATCGAAGAGGCTCGGCAGCAGATGCACTCCCTCCTAGACGATGCCTTCGCCCTGGTATCACCATCCTCGCAGGGCAGCGCCGGGTTGAGCGGGGTAAGCCCTGCCCTGCCCAGCCCTTCCCCTCAGGCCCGGCCCCCGGGCCGGCAGTGGGGCTCTTACCCAGCAGCCCCCTCTCACAGCCCGTTTTCTGCAGTGAGTGTGTCGGCCTGCAGCTGAAGCTACAAAATACTTTTGTCATGATCAATGTTCAGCGTTCATGTCCTGCTCTTTCTGTGCTCTATGCAGAGATATGCGGAGCTGGGGATGTCGCCCTCATCAGTCCAGGGTCTGCTGCAGAGGTCAGTGTCGGCACTTAAACACCAGGTGCAAGACCTGAACCAGTACTGATTCTCTGATGTTTTATCCAGGCAGGGCCTGAGCTCCGGAGGGTATGTTTCTACTGGAGACCAGCTGCAGGACTCAGTTTACTCCAGCAGGGGGCAGTACGAGGACCCCCCCTCCTCCTCCAGACCACGACCTGTAGGAGGCAGCACAGGTACCTTCATAATGTGACATATCAGACATGCTGCTGTCATTTAGGAGTCAGAAAACACTCCAACTCATCGATCTCTAACACATATCAAACCCACAGACACTCCACTACATGTGTGAGCACATTTGTTGTATTTGTTGAATTTGCTGACTGAATTCATCGACCTCCAGGTGCACAGCTCCACCATCTGACCCAGGTGGGTCTGTCCAGTCAGATCGGTGCATACCCTGGGGTGGGTCGCAGCATGTCTGGGCCCACCGGCTCCAGCTGGAACCAGCAACACTCGGACCAGGACCTGTCCAGACCGGGAGCCAGCAGAGAGAGCGTGAGTCGTAAAACCAATCATAATATACACAACCAAAATATAACGGCAACATGTAGTATTTGATAGATTCTATTCATTCTTTTTAACAAAGGAGTAAATATGTGTTGCTTCAACACATGGCATTTTTACAACAGAGATACATCTATGTAGGAATGACAATGGGCAGAAGAGAGTAGGATTATAGACCAGAAATCACAAGTCAGTAACGAGTCTTTTGGGATGTTGTTTCACTCTTCCTGAAGTACCCGGTGAAGTTCTTTTTAGATGACAGGTAGGACTGGAATATTTTCAGCTGGTAGAAGGGCAGTGCATCCCGTGGAGACATGAGGACACATTATGACAGACAGTCGGTTGTCCAAACTGATTCAAAACTCGTCCATAATGACTCAAAAATTGTCCAAAATTAGACAAAAATGATCCAAAAATACCTTAAAAGTGGTTTAACATGAAAATGCCCAAAAGTACTCAACACCTGTCTTTATTCAGATCCATGTCTTTGTCTGGTTGTCTTGGAATGTAGACGAATAGATAGATGCTCTTGGTTTTCTGGTCTTGGCTTCATCCTCCTCATCTTCTTCATTCTTTCCCATTCTTCCCACAGGTGCTATCGTTCCCTGAGTTCTCCTCTTCCTCGGTTTTCCAGATGCCCAGCTCCTCGTTGCGGGATCCGTCGGCTCCACCTCTCCTCCTGACCTCACCGACTCCCGAGTATCCACCGGATGACGCCTCGCCGTCCGCCCACACCTCCGCCTCTCTTATAAAGGCTATCAGGGAGGAGCTGCGACGTCTGGCCCAGAAACAGGCTGCAGTGACCAGCTACCCTTAGACTGGTTTGGACCTCTTTGGATCAGGACTCAGCTGGTTTCAAATATTTTAAACCACTCAGAGCCTGCAAGGACCGGATTAAAACCCTAAAACTAACTAATGTACACTCTGGACTCTCTCTGTGCCGCTAAGCCCAAAATTAACTCTGAACCATGATCCATGTCTGAAAACAAGGACAGTGTCTCCTGAAGACCTCCGGTACTTTACAGGGTCCCGTCTTTCTGTTTGTCGATCCATCACCTCCCCAGCTCAGTGTTTCATTGGACATAAGTTTGACTCACATTTCCACTGAAGTGCTTCCTGGAGCGGATCATTCAATGATCACCCTTCCTGAACTTCTTGACTGTGTCATCTCTTTCAACCTTCTGGAGCAGCGATTCATTCCTCTGCTCCCGGAGGGGATGGTCCCTCCTGTAGTTCTAGAGTGGATTATCTGCCCTGGAGTTCTGGAGTGAACGGACCTTCCTAAACCTCTGGAGTGGATTGTCCCTTTTGGACTTTTGGAGAAAATTGAATGTTCCCGGCCTTTCTGGAGTGGCTCATCTGTCAATGACCTTCCATTCTGGAGTACATGGGCCTTCTTAACTTCTGGGGTAGATCGTTCTTTTTGAATTTCTGAAGCACACCATCCTTCCTGGCCTTCCAGACCTTCTGAAGTAGACATTTGCCCTAGACCTTCCAAGCAGATGGCTGCGCTAGACCCTCAGGAGGCAACCTTCCCTCTTGAAGTTCTGGAATGGATGGTCCCTCCTGGCTTTCTAGAACGGATTACACTTTCCAAGAGTTCAGATCTTCTAAAGTTTAATTGTCTAATTAAACCTTCCTGGTTTTCTGGTTTTCTGGATGGTCCCTGCACAAGTTCATGAGTCGACCGTCTGGCCTGGAGTTCTGGACTGAACGGACCTACTTAAACTTTTGGAGTGGATCGTCCCCTTTAGACTTCTGGAATACATGGAATGGTCCTGGCCTTCTGGAGTGGATGGTACCTCCTGGACTTCAGGAGTGAATGGACCTTCTTAACTTCTGGAGTGGAATGTCGAATTGAATGTTCCTGGCCTTTTGGAGTGGATTTCCCTCTGGGAGTTCTGGAGTGGATGGTCCCCTTTGGAGTTCTGGAGAAAATGGAATGTTCCCAGACTCCTGAAGTGAAGAGACCTTCTTAACTTCTGGAGTGGATCACCTGTCCCAGCGTTCTGAAGTGAATACACCTTCTTAACTCCTGGAGTGGATCATTGAATCAAAGGTCCCTGGTTTCTGGAGGGGATGGCCTCTCCGGAAGTTCTCGAATGGATCATCTGCCCTGGAGTTCTGATGATGATGAGTCATCATCGCCATCCAGAGTTCTGTCATCCCTCTTGGACCTTTGGAGCATATTTAACCATCCTGGCACTCTTGAATGGATGGTCCCTCCTGGAGTTCTAGGATGGATCATCTGTCCTTGAGTCCTGGAGTGAATGGACTTTCTCTGACTTCTGGAGTGAATCGTCCCTTTGAAGCTCTGAAGCGCACCATCCCTCCTGGCCTTCGGGTGGATTGTCCTTCCAGATGTTCTGAAGCAGATTGTTGCCTTCCAAGTGGATGGTGGTTCTGGACTGTCTGGAGCTGATCGTCCCTCCTAAAGTTCTGAAGTGGATTGTCCCTCTGGACCTTCTGTGGTGCTAACCGTCAGCCTCATACCATCCTCTCATCGACCACTTATTGCCTTCCACACTCCCATCAGCCACGGTGATCAGGTCTCTGTTCATTAACCATATCGATGAGGTCTTTGCACTGTCGACAGCTGGAGGTGCCGTACAGTTCCTGCAGCACGGGAACACAAAACAGGAGAAATAATATATTTAAATATCTATAAGAATTAATAAAATATATGTAAAGAGATAGAAACCCAATGAGCACAATATTAATGTAAGAGTTATTATTGGAGTATTGAGATGTTACTTATTTTTTATTGCTTATATATGAAAGTATTCTTTAAATCCTTTATTTTGAGCCCAAAAAAGACCAAACTACTGTTCTATGGTTGTAATCCTCTTGTGTTTGAGCTCGCTGTAGATTTTGAGCCAGCGTTTGTTTCTCCGTGAAGACGTTGCTTAGCGTAGCTGCTCGCTCGCGTGTTCATGTATCGGTGGCAATTTAAAAAAAAAAAAAAATTACAGCTCATGCATCGCTTTGGTATCGAGCTTTTCGTCGCTGATTTGTTGCATCCATCAGTCTGTGGGCAGAACGCTGTAGATGAGTAACGGGTGACTACAAAGTGAGGAGCGGAGATGGAAACCAGTCCTTCATCACAACCAGAACCTAAAGAAAAAGGCCTCTACACCAGCGCCTCCTGGAGGCTGTAGTGAAAACTTGTGACAGTCTTGTTTAACTTGTGGTTAAGTTTGCACTGATGGTGGCGGCAGATTAAAGATCATGTCGGTGCCTGAATCAAAGGGTTCATCCTGTACGGAGGCCTCTTCAGGACATGTTGCTGTCTGTCTGTGGGTGAAGGTAAATAATGTTTGTTTGGATAAACTTCTGGATCATTTAGATCAGGTTGAGAAAGGATTTCTGTGGCTGAATCCAAATGTCCAAACTGCACACCATTAGAGTAAACTCAATGAATTTCCCAGTCAGATGGATATTAAAAGTAAGAAACTGAGCACCGTTTACTAGTAGTGTCACAGTCTGAAACAATGCTACCTGAAGCTTTTTAAGAGCCATTTGAAACCATTAGTTACATCCTTAAATAATCAAACTGTAATTTAAATGCAGCTGACATGTGTGACAGTTCAGATCAATGTTACCCTACAAAACATGACCACAACTCACTACATAGAAGTTAAATAACCTTTAAAACACCCTGCAGGTTAACGTCCACCAAACCAGCCCAGTATATGTCTGGACTAAATAGTTCTGCATAGCACCAGGAAACAAACCAAAACATTTCTGCGTTGAAGCAGTTCCTTAATGTTCTGTAGGTGATCAGGAACCGTGTTGTGAAGCTCCAGTAGGACACTGTTTGAAATGTAATGTTAGATTTTAGGATGTACTGTGGTGTCACAAACTCCAAAGGATGGAGAAAATATCTGCATGCATGTCAGAAAATGTGTTGTAGACCAGCTGTAGTACCTGGTTGTTCCACCAGGTGGAGCCTCTTCCTGTTTAATCCTGTAGAGACCAGAGGAGGCGTCTACAGACTACAGTCCATGTTGAGAATTGTGGGAGTTTAGCAGCAACGGTTAATGACCTCCAACCAGGACTAATTTATTTAAATGGCCGAGAGTTTTTCCAGATAAATGGTTCATTCACCCAAGTTGATCAACATGAGGAAAAACTGTACTTCATTTGTTCTAACAATTAATTGATCATTGATTCAAAACTTGGGCACCTGACATCTAGTCTAGTCGTGAGTTTGAATCCCGATCACCAACATTAGGAGCTGCACGGTGGCTCGGTGGTTAGCACCGTTGCCTTGCAACTAGAAGGTTGCCGGTTGGCGTCCTGGTGAGGACACCCGGGATCTTCCTGCGTGGAGTCTCCATGTTCTCCCCGTGCAGCGTGGGTTCTCTCCGGGTTCTCCGGCTTCCTCCCACAGTCCAGAAACATGCTGAGGTTAATTGGTGATTGTAAATTGTCCGTAGGTGTGAATGTGAGTGTGCTTGGTTGTCTGTCTCTAAGTGTAGCCCTGTGATAGACTGGTTACCTGTCCAGGTGAACCTGCCTTCACCCTGAGTCAGCTGGGATAGACTCCGCCCCCCATGACCCTGGTGAGGATGAAGGTGTAGAGATGATGGATGGATGATGCTGCCATTAACAGATATAGAAACATAGTTTAGTTTAGCTACCATGACAGATACTTCTGGAGCAGTTAATGACCTCCAGACATTTGGATTCAGCCTTTAGTTTAGGTTCTGGTTGTGCAGCTGGAGACGGTTCCTCTGCTGGTTTCCTCTGAGGCATTACCAAGAAGCCGGTTGCTCAGAAGCATCTGGTTCCACATGACGAGAGGTTTGTTCGTCTCTGCTCTTCTTCAGCATGTTCAACTAAGTTTGAGGCTTTAGCTATTCGTAATGTTCCAGTTAATGTTTAGCATGCTGCTAAAAGATGTTAAAGTTGTAAAAAAAAACAAAAAAAACAGTGAAGAGTTGTTCCACATCGAGTAAAGAGTGAGCAAAGAGTGATTAAAGTCACAGTGCCATAAACTCCACCGTCCATCAAGCACAGTAGAAAAAATACATCCTGAGAAACGTCATGTTTTTTTTTGTTTTGCATTTCCAAAAGATATTTTTGAATCTAAATGAAGATGGTTACAGTAAACAGTGTATAAAAGAAAGTGGATATGGTGTTGAATAGAAAACATAATATATATAGAAAATATTTTATCCGTGATTGCTCTGCTGAACGGACTCGAAGATCTGCCAACACATCGTTCATGGACCAGAAACCAACCGCAGAACTCTTTACCGGCTGGAGACTCTCTGATTGGACCTAGCACCTGTCAGTCAAGCTGTAGGACTCGGCCACGCCTACAGGGTCACATGGTGCTAACTCAATGACTCGAGGTGTGTCTGAACCTCCTCAAACATTTTAAAAATCCTGCAGAAGTTCGTCTTCTCGTATCAAACTGTGGACTGCTGCTCTGCAGGCGTCACAAGCTTCTCCTGAATGTTTTCTTCAGTGTTTTCTAGAGTTTCTGTGTTTTCTAGATCTGTGATCCTCAGCGAGAATCCAGCAGACGACCAGGAAGCGCTGTGGATGTTCACACATGACAAAACTACTGATCCGCACTGAATCGGTCTTCAGCTCTTTTCACACAGAACCAGCTTTTCTGGAGAACCTCTGGTAGCGATGGCAGGGATGGCCTCTGAGTCTGCCATGTCTGAAATCTGTAAAACCGAAACTTCACCACAAACTCTCTTCCACATTTCACCAAACACAAAGTAGTCCAAATCAGCTTAACTTCTTTCTTTCTTTTTTTTGCAAAGTTTGTTGTTTTCATCTTTCTTTAGCTTGTTTCCAGCTCCAGTGTTTTGGAGGCGGCATCAACGATTACAAATGAAAGTTTGGAGCATTTTGGGCAAAAATTCATGGAGACCAATTGAGAGGAAGAGCAAATCCATCAAGAGAAGTAGATTTGAAACGCTGATTAGATGCAGGACACGTGGCAGGACGCACCAGTGAACGTTTTACTGTCTTCCAACAGGCTGAACAGTTAATATGTGGCAGCCGGCTAAGAACATATCTGCACGTAACGTCAGTAAATTCAAGCAAAACACAAACTTTACTTAATCCGTGCAAATGCACCACAAGAAACACAGAAGTTGGGGTTCATTTCTGAATGACACGAGGTTCCTCAGGTGGTTCTAGTGCTGCGTGAACAGAGCTCCAGACTTCACTCAGTGCCGACACTTGTGCACAAGATACAAACATTTCTGCACAAGATGCAAACGTCTGTGTCCAAAACGCAAACGTTTCTTCACAAAAGTTTGTATCTTCTGCACGAGACGTGAACTTTTACACACAAGATACGAACGTTCATGAACGAGATCCGAATGCTTTTGCAAAAGACGTAAACTTCTGTGAACGAGACACAAACATTTCTGCACAAGTTCTGAACGTTTGTGACCAAAACACAAGTTCACCAAACAGCATGCTGACGAGTTAAACTAAATTCTAACTTTTAAAAATGAGACAGGTGCATAAAATGTACTAATTGTGCTGCCAACATGCAAACTACTAAATTTTAAAGAACTAATCTAACTGATCCTCTTGTATAGAACGTGTTCTGTGATGTTTCTGAACATCTGCAGTCGTCAGTTTTGTCATGAATGAACCTTCAAACAGCTGCTGCTCCGAGTCGAACCACATTCCTGTTGCTCCTCTTCAGACTCTGTTGCACGCAGCATCTCCGAGGCCACGCCCACAACCGGAGAGGCCACGCCCCCAGCAGGTGAGGCCACATCTGTCCAGGTTCCAGGTGTGACCCCCGGCGACTCGGGGAAGCTGCGCTGTGGAAACGGAGTCGGGGGGGAAGTTCTTTTAACGTCAGTGAGCTGGGAACACTGCCAGCACTCTCACCTGTTCAACAGCAGCCAGGTGAGCGCTCAGCTGACCTGAGCGGGTCACATGACAGGACCTGTTCTACCCAAACTCTGTGTGAGCTGCATCCTGTGGTGTTTCAAGTCTGAAAGATTGTGTTAACAAACATTAAAGAGACGTGTTCAGATTCAAACGACTCACTTCTGTCCTCATTGATCCTCAACAGACAATGACTTTAACTCGTACTGAGAGTTTTCTGACAGATGCTGTTTAGTTTCAGGTCAATATTCATTCAGGAATTCGTGAAACCACCGACACACAGTTTGATCTGCTCCTAAAGGCTCAATGTGCTTCAATCAGAACTGAATTCTAACATCAGTCTTATTATTAACGCCTCATCCTGTGTGTCCGGAACGCCAGTCCTTTTGATTTTATCGTTAGAAACTGCACTCTTCATTTGAAACTGAGTCACAACCAGCATGAAGACAAACCACCTGATAGAAACACACAGAAACTATTTAGTCAAGCAGCCAAATATCAGATGACTTACTGACACACATCAAAAGTAAAACACATTTAAATCAACGTCACCTGTGAGACAGCAGCCGTCAGCAAAGGATCGGGCTGGAAGTGGCCTCGATCAGCCCCCATCCACGACGGAAATGGATTTAAAAATTCTGTAATAAAATACGAAAAGCAAAGCAAAATGCACAAATAAATACACTTTAAATGAAAAATAAAATAATACAATCAGTAAAAGTTAAAATAACAATAAAATCTGTAAGATAATGGAAAAGGTAAACTAAGATATCTAAATATTTTAAAAAGATAAAAAGGTGAATTTAAATAAAAAATCCACAAATTACAAGTAAAAAAAAAAAATAGTAAGAACATTGAATAAACATAAAAATAGATTCCAAATAAAATTGATTAAACTGTAAGAAAATGATACAAGTAAATTAAATAAGATAAATAGATCTGAAAAGTCAATAAATAAATAAAAACATCTGTAAGAAAAAAAAAAAAACGTTTATCAAGATAAATAGATAAATATGTAAGGAAATTACAAAAAGTAAATTTAGATAAGTAGATAAATTGATTTAAAATGCTTTTAAGAATCTGTAAGAACGTGAGAAAAGTAAATTCAGATAAATAGAAATATATTTAAAAGGTAAAAAAAAATCTAAAATCTGTGACTGCAGATAGAAGATTACATTACGGCTGCTTTTATTATGAAAGGGTAAACAGGATGTTAACTATTGTGAAAATGCGGGCCCGGATGTGCGGTCCCTCTGTTCCGGTAGACTCCCGGGATCTTGTCGGTATTTGAGCGGCGGCTCTCCGCTCGGAACCTTCAGAGCGCCGCTGCTGCCGGACGGACCAACATGGCGGACCCCTGCTCCTTCTGCTCCTTCACCAGCTGCGTCACCAAGCACCTCAACCTGCTGCTGCGCGTGGACTTCGACAGACACGTGATCAGCGGGAGGGTCGCGCTCACCGTGGAGGCTCTGGAGGACCGGTTCTCCGCTCTGGTAACGTTACCGGAACCGGTGCACCGGTACCGGGCGGCTAGCCACAAGCTAACCGGCTTTCTGCCGCTAAAATCCGACAGAATTTACACGGAGTCTGGTGTGTGTTACAACGCAGTAATGCACAGGCTGCGCAGGTGTTTTAGCAGAACTGCTGTACGGTTCTGAACGGACCCGGTTTCAACAGTGATAGTGGTGTCTACTCATCCCTCACATATCGAACTATGATTCGGCTCGGTCCACTTCTTCATGTCTGTTTCATATGGAATAAAATCTACCTTTTATCACTGAGGTCTGAGGCTCAGCAAACACACTTTAAATGACTGTATTTTGAATGGAGTTCGGTTTAGCAGTGGGCAGTGAATTTATTGTGTTCGGACTTTGACTTTGAGACTGAACCGTCGCAGAAACATGTTAATGAAACGACCAGCAAAGTTTCACTGCAGTTAATAAACAGTGAGTAAACTGATTATAACGGTCTCATAATGCGTTTAAATGAATCTCTGCATCCATTCAGAAGTCCACTCACATTAAGCACATTTTAAATCTCACTGCTGAGGACTTATGAGGTCTTTAAATGCTCTGCTGTTGCTTTATTAATTAAAATAATTGGATGAAATCTTCTCTAAAAGTCGAAATTTGATTTTACTAGTGGACCAAGCATCTTCACTGACCCTTTGGCTTTTGTCAGGAAATATTTTAAAGCTTTTCTAGTTCATATGGACGTTTTGTTTTGGCCAAAAATGTTAAATTGTTTTGCTTTTGAAAGAATTTTGGCGGCTGCCTTGTATGCATAATGAAAGTCAGGGAAACCTTAAATTGCTCCATTTTTGAATGGAGTCTGGTGTGAAGTCCATCATTAATGCATTTATGTGAGCTGTGGTGCTGAACTTTGCCTTGAGGCTGATACAGGTGTTTATCAGGTGAAGTGCTGAGTCTCACGTTTTAAAATCATCTATTTATGATGTTTGAAATCCTTCTGTTGTCGCTCTGCAGAGGTTCATTATGCTGCGACCCAGAATAGATTTTATCGAGGGCGTGTCATCCTGGACTTATTTTAAAAATGATCTGGTAGGACAGGTGTGTTCACCTGAGATCTGACTGACGTTTCTTTGCAGTTTATTGAACAAAACCTCCATCTAAATGTGTTAAATCTGCACAAACTTGCTGCTTCACTCTGAATTTATTCCAGTTTTAGGATCATCTGTTGAATTTGCTGTAAGTTTACTGGTTGTTTTGGCTCCTGAAGCTGTTTACGGCTCAGATTTCATCATTACAACCGGTATTTTTAGAGTTTTATCAGGTGTGGAGATTTTTTCAGGTGACAACACTTTAAATGGACAGTTTCTGATTGGAGTTTGGCACACGACCGGCTCTGTTCACCTGAGCTCAGTGTGAGTTTCACTTTCTAGTTTCTCAGCTTGGTTAATTTATTTCTACTAACCTGCACCTGAAGACTTGAGGTGTAACTCACCTGTAAAAACACTGAACATTAACTCTGGTTTTAGAATAACGTGTGACTGTATCATATTAAAAGCCATTTTAGTTAAAGAAATGCTAAATGTAGCTGTTTTTGAATGGAGTCTGGTGGGCGTAGTGGAGCTGTCAGACCGGCTGAGCTGATGGAGGCTGTATTAATGCGGACTTTGATCTGATAGGACAGGTGTGACAGGTGAGTGTTTATCAGCAGGTAGGAGGAGCTGAGGCAGCAGGTGAGGAGCTCATATCAGAAGTTCATTATTAAAAGTTGATTATTTTTTTCTTCTGCAGACGTTGGACACCAAAGACCTGAAGATCGTGTCGGTGTCGGCCAACGGTCAGCCGGCTCGCTTCAGCCTGGGCCAAAAGCACAGCTTCAAGGGGACGCCGCTGGACATCACGCTGCCCTTCGACCTGTCCAGGTAACCGCCCCCCTCCCCGTACAAACACCTGAGTCTTCTCAACGCCAAACGTAACCGCCGTGTTTGTTGTCTGGACCAATCAGAGGGCAGCACGTGATCGTGGAGGTGAACTATGAGACGTCTCCGTCGGCGTCGGCGCTGCAGTGGCTCACGCCTGAGCAGACCGCCGGCAAGAAGCAGCCGTACCTGTTCAGCCAGTGTCAGGTGAGCTCTGGTTCATCGGTAGCAGTGAGAGACGCAGGAGGCGGTTAGTTCACCTGTCATGATTAAGTTATTGATTTCTCTGGATGTTTTTCACTTTGCTGCCTTCAGGTTTTAATAAAATGTCACCAGTAAAACAATAATAAACATGTTTTCTTCTGAAACACTGCAAAAGGTAAAAAATAAAAATATACAAGACGAATCGTTTACAAAGTTCAGGTGATTTTAACAGATTTTTACTTTTTATTTAAATAAAAAGTTTCCTGTTTGTTGCATTTGAAAAGGTTTAAATGGCCTAAAGCTGAGATCAGTGATCACGCATTCAATAAATCTTAATATTAATCAATAAAAGTGTTAATCGCTGAAATGTAAAGTTCAGTTCTGATCAGCAGAGTTCTGTTCTCGGGGTTCTGCTTCCTGTTTGTGGCGAAAACATTTTGTGGTTTTTCTGTTGAGTCGTGAAACTTTGAGCAACAAACTGTTTGCTTCACTTCTTCTTCTCTGTTTCTGCTTTTAACTGGTTTCATCATGACCCAGTGAGACCAGTCAGAGGCACTGGGACGTAACTGCTGCCCTGCGCTCTGTCTTACAGGCTCATCACTGCAGGAGCATGCTGCCCTGTCAGGACAGCCCGTCCATCAAACACACCTACTACGCTCAGGTAACACATTCCCCACCTGTTTAGGTAACAGACGCATCACACCTGCTCAGATTACACAAAAAGATCTACAACCCCAGTCAGAGACAACACACCTGTCTGTAAGGTGAGTCTCTCAGGTGGGCCGTGTCCTCTGTCCAGGTGTCTGTCCCCAAGGACCTGGTGGCGGTGATGAGTGCGGTGAGAGACGGACACGAGGTCGACCCTCAGGACAGCGGTCGAATTATCTACAGGTTCAGGCAGCCGGTAGGCGGAGTCTGCTTCTGCTTGTCTGGTGACATCATCACCAGCTGAGCTCAGGTGTGACTGTTCTCTGTTTGACCTCAGGTGTCCATGCCGTCCTACCTGATAGCCATCGTGGTCGGAGCTCTGGAGAGCAGGTACGGTCCGCCTCACCTGTGCTGATGTCGTCGTACACGGTGAACGCAGGTGACCATGTTTGTGTGTTCTGATTGGTCGACAGGGAGATCGGCCCGAGGTCCAGAGTCTGGTCGGAGAAGGAGCTGGTGGACAAAGCGGCGTTTGAGTTCTCCGAGGTGAGTCACCGCGGCAACAGCAAGAACCTCACGCCCACGGGTTCTACTGGGAGGAGCTGCTGAGAACACACAGAACACACAAAACACACAGAACATACAGAACATAAAGAACTTCCAGAACATGTAGAACACACAGAACACAGAACATCTGCCTTTGCGTCCGTCAGACGGAGACGATGCTGAAGACGGCCGAGGAGCTCGCTGGACCGTATGTTTGGGGTCAGTACGACATCCTGGTTCTTCCCCCATCGTTCCCGTACGGCGGCATGGAGAACCCCTGCCTGACCTTCGCCACGCCCACCCTGCTGGTAAACACACACACACACACACACACACACCTGATGATGTCATTGATGAGGTCGCCGAGCTGCCGTGATGTCGTGCTGATCAGCTGTTTGTGTCTCTCTGCAGGCTGGAGACAAGTCTCTGTCTAACGTGAGTAAAGCTATGCTGCGAGGCAACAGACGTGTCGTCGTGCATGTTACATACGTGTTCACCTGTGGTCATGTGTCGCGCAGGTGATCGCCCACGAGATCTCTCACAGCTGGACCGGGAACCTGGTGACCAACAAGACCTGGGAACACTTCTGGTAAACACGTACGCAAACAAACACAACGGTTAGAGAAAGAAGATACCCCGGCAAACACAAACAAGCAAGTGAAGGGCTAGTGGGGCGTAGAAACAAACAACCAACTAATGAAACAAACAAACAACCAACTAATGAAACAAACAAACAGCCACAGGAAAACGCAAACAAACAATTAGCCAGAGGGACAAACAAACAAACAAACAAACAAACAGAGCTGGCTGAACACCTGTATATCACCTTAACCAAACAATCAGCCAGCGGTACGAGCAAAGAAAGCACCAGAGACAAACATGCAAACAAACAAACAAACAAACATGGTGGCTCTGACCTTCAGGCTGAACGAGGGTCACACGGTTTACCTGGAGAGGATGATCGGCAGGTGTATGGAGAGCGAACAGTTCAGGCAGTTTAAAGCCATGGGCGGCTGGAAGGACCTGCAGGACTCGGTGAGAACCACAACCTGAACCAGAACCACAACCTGAACCCGTCTCAGATTTTCTGCACATCTGACTCCATGCTCTCACCTGTGCTCGTTCTCCGTCAGGTGAACACATTCGGAGCCAACAACCCTCTGACCAACCTGGTCCCCAGTCTGCAGGACGTCGACCCCGACGATGCCTTTTCCTCGGTGCCCTACGAGAAGGGCTTCGCTCTGCTGTACCACCTGGAGGAGCTGATGGGAGGACCAGGTAGCACCTGTACACACACCTGTACACACACCTGGCTCCTGCTCCTGCGCTAACACACCTGTCCGTTTGTCTCCTTCAGAGGTGTTCATGGGCTTCGTGAAGTCGTACATCCAGCTGTTCGCCTACAGCAGCGTCACCACAGACGAGTGGAAGAACTACCTGTTCACCTACTTCAAAGACAAGGTGAGGAACACCTGGACGCTCAGGTGGAACCACAGCGGACCCAACCAGGCTGTGTCAGTTGCAGGTTGTTGATGATGCGGTGTATTCTGCATCATGTGAAAGAAAAGATCAATACCAACTGATCGATCGGCATTTCTGGACATGTGACGGGTGGGCGGAGTTATGAGATGTTTGTGTTTTCAGGTGGACGTCCTGAACAAGGTGGACTGGAACGCCTGGATGTTCACTCCTGGGATGCCTCCTGTCAAACCTCAGTGAGTGGTTCTGTTCAGACCTCCACCTGGTTCTCATTCACACCTGATCCCTTTGTTCTGATTGGTTGCTGTGTTTCAGGTATGACACCACGCTGGCTGACGCCTGCATCGCTCTGAGTCAGAAGTGGCTCAAGGTAAGACCTGTACCTGGTTTTGTTTTGGTTGGCTTTATGTTCAGACTCAAACCTTCGTCCTCCGTCAGGCCAAAGACCAGGACCTGAACGGCTTCAAGGAGTCGGACGTGAAGACGCTGTCGTCCCACCAGGTCATCGAGTTCCTGTCGCTCCTGCTGCATGAGGTACGGTGCTCCCCACAGTCCACTTCAGCTCCCCACGGTCCACTTCAGCTCCCCACAGTCCACTTCAGTTCACCCCGGTCCACCTCAGTTCACCACGGCCCACTTTAGTTCACCCCGGTCCACTTCAGTTCACCACGGTCCACTTCAGTTCACCACGGTCCACTTCAG